ATAATCGTCCCTATCATCATGATGGTACTATATTAAAATAATCGTCATTAATGTCATCATCGCCATCACTATGTAGGCCATCATTATCAACATCGTAATCATCATCCGCTTTGGGGGTCGATAAAACGCGTTTCGCGACCTCTTGAGTGGAAGTCAACAGTCATTGCCCCTTCATGAATGTTCTTGCTTTCCGTCATGGTACTGTGGAATGTTCACGGCTGGTTCGGGGCCTGCAGAGGTCATTTCCACCTCTTGCTTTGTCTCCGATCCATTGAAAAAAAGAACTGTCGACTCAAGTTCGACTCCGGGATACGGCGAACATGAGTTGCAAGTGACATCAGAGCCGGCCCTAGAGTGGCCCACCCTCCTTCACCCACCCGCATTGACCAGCGTGGTGAAGTATGGTAAAAAAATGTTTTTACAAAAACCTCCCCACGACCGACACACGGCCTGGAGGAGCGGAGAGCCATCATCCATCGGTGAATCGAGAATGGCCGGAATCCGTGATGTTTTTTTTGGCGAGTGTAGCCTTTTCACGGCCCAGGTCTCCTTCTTAACGCATGAAACGTGCTCCCGTTTTCGTTGCCCTCTGCGGTCCTCGGTGTCAAGACCCAATTACAACGTTGGGAGTGATTAAGAGGGTTCGAATGGACCCCGTTTGTAATTCACCCAAAGTAGTGGTCTCGCGTACAGGCGGTGGAGGGAGGGGAGGTTGTATAATTTCCCTAATAAGCGTCGTTTTTTAATTATATTCAAATAATTAATACGTCCTTCACGTGGCTTAATTAGGTCGGCTCCGTCCCTATCGCCCACCGATAGCCGCACCCCACCCCGAACTCCCTCCCGCGCGCGTCCTCAATATATCGCAGGGCAGCAGAGGGATCGCGACGTCGTCTCACAGCGATCACCATTTGTTTTGTTTACACTACACGGTGGGTGGGGTAGAGGGGGCAGTGGGGAGAGGGAGGGCGTTTGACCATACTTCACCACTCCGATCAGTGAACGGTCAGGTGGAAGGGAGCACGCGATGTTGCCTCGCCTCCTCCAGCCGAGCGCGCCATTTGTGTGTGCGTGTGTTGAACTTCCTTCGCACCGTATACGTGGCCAAAAAGTACTGAGCGGAGGTGCGGCAGCGATTGGTTGTGGTTGCCCCCCCCGCCCCCCATAGGCGGAGTTTGACTTCTATATTTGGTGGGCGGGGGGGGGTTAGGAATCGCGGTCGCATATAATTAATTGAATCTTAATTGTAAACTACTGAAAATAAATGAATAAAGGTGTTCGTCCATGCCCCCTCCCTCCTGTCCGTCCGTCCTGACTCCTTCTCAAGTCGTGCCACGGACACTCAAAACCTCGACGCCACGCCAAGGGAGCAAAGTGGCACAATGCCCCATTGGAGAGGCAGGCAGAGGAGCACGTGGATTCAAGCTGGCGGTGTTTCACGTGCAGGCGAGAAGGTGCTGCAGGGAAACAGGAGTCTCGTTTTTGCACGAGTGACCTGGGTCAACCAACAAAAACATGCAATGAAAGGCCAAATAAATAAATATTTAGTGGAGCAATTATGCAAATATAGATGAGCAAACAATACGTCTCCTTCCATAAATGTCTCTCCACATCAATAAAAATAGAGTACTGTATTTCTTACACATCCCATATGCCCCACGGCCTTCTGGAGAATGCATACTTTCAGCAGCATTGGTTCAATACAAACAGAACTCTGGACCGAGTTTGAAGGTCGGTGTCTCATCAGCAGTCATGCTTGCTTGAACCAATGCTGGTGAACTGCCAGATGTTCATAGACAAGGACTGGTTTTGACTTTCAGTGTCTCATCAGCAGAGTCAGGCTTAGCTGGAACCATCGCCGGTGAACTGCCCGATGCCAGAGTAATTGTGCTTGGGGCAGGACACGCAGCGAGAAGGGACGATGGTGGCCGAGACTAACCACAGAGCGGCAGCCAAAGGTGGGAGTCACGCCAAAGAAGGCACGCGTCGCGGAGATGGAGCGACGAAATCAGCTCGTGTGTTGGAGCAAGATGGACTTCTGTTACATCGCGAGACGATCAGGGGGGAGAGGTCTTAAGTCCAGCAGTGGATAGGTCATGACCGATGATGCTGATGTGATATTGCTGTGGAGAATATTAATGCTTGCTTGGCAGGGATTTTAAGAGTGGGGACAATAATGGGGGAGGCGTTGCTGTGAGTTACAGACATCTGGGACAGCAGGGGAGAAGGAGCGACCACCCGCCGAGCGAAGGCTGAGTAAATGAAAGCGCTGCAGCAATAATAAGTGATGGTGACTGTTGAGGTTGGCAGGAGGCCTCGGTTGCCGGAGCGGAGGGAACGGGAAAGGGGAGTGGAGCGAGATGAGAGGTAGGAGAGTGCGTGGAAAAAAAATAGAGCGAGATGGGAGGGGAGAGGTAGGAGAGTGCGTGGAGGGGAGTGGAGTGAGATGAGAGGGGAGAGGCAGGAGAGTGCGTGGAGGTGGTGGAGTGAGATGAGAGGGGAGAGGTAGGAGAGTGCGTGGAGGGGAGTAGAGTGAGATGAGAGGGGAGAGGTAGGAGAGTGCGTGGAGGGGAGTGGGGTGAGATGAGAGGGGAGAGGTAGGAGAGTGCGTGGAGGGGAGTGGAGTGAGATGAGAGGGGAGAGGTAGGAGAGAGCGTGGAGGGGAGTAGAGTGAGATGAGAGGGGAGAGATAGGAGAGTTTGTGGAGGGGAATAGAGTGAGATGAGAGGGGAGAGGCAGGAGAGTGCGTGGAGGGGAGTAGAGTGAGTTGAGAGGAGAGAGGTAGGAGAGTACGTGGAGGAGAGTAGAGTGAAACGTCTTATTTTCCGGAGAATATGGTGGTGCGTGAGTGTACTCTTTGTAATGTAAGTTGTATACCAGGGTGCCACTCAGTATACCTATGGGAGTAGAGAAGTCTCATTCTTCTGGGATTTCACTCTCTTCTCAATTGTGTTATTTGTTGTGTAAAAGTCAAAAACTGAGAATCCCGTTCTCCTCTTTTCATATTCACAGGGGGCTCAGGATCTCCATCTCATTAACTCCTCTGCATCTATGATTAATACCGTGACTGTGTGTGAATTGACTGTGATCCACTGCATCGCGCGCTCTCAAATGCGCTTCTACGACCGCCTGGAACGCTCTTCCTGCCCATATTAGGAAACTGCTGGAGATATGCATTTTAAAATCTAGATTTAAAACTTACTTCTTTCGAACTGCTTTTTGTGCTTAGTTTGTTGACCTTTCCCCGTATCTCTGATAAAACACGGTTGGCTACGTACGGTCCGAAAAAAGTTCAACATACACACATGCCAGAATCTTTATTTATCCTGGAGAAATCCGATGAGCTATGAAGCTCTTTTCGCAGCTTTAAACTCGCAGTGGCTTCAGTTTAACAGGAAAACGAATAAAAGCAGAGGGTGAGAATCTTGAATTTAACAAACACAAACCCTATAGTACGCTGGTGTATAATTGTATACACGTGCAGTGAGTGTTTAGCTTTCCTATACAGTACTTTGCACTCTTCTGTTTTAGCATTATTTTGTTGTTGTTGTTGTAACCTTCTGACCCGCCCCTACTGGACATCTGTGAAAAGAGCTTCATGGCTCTTCGGATTCTTCCAGTCTAAATAAAGATTCTGGTCGTGTAGATTTCACGCACTGCTGCTGTTGCTGCTATGACAACATACCTTTGGGAACATTTATGCACCGCTATGCAATGCATTCGAATAACATTGCGAAACTCATCTTATGCACAAATTGCACTTTATTGCCATTAAAATATCGTGTTTATATATTAAATCATTTTTTACCTATGGTAAATTCACTGAATAACATAAAGAGAATGTGGTTGGTGTGAAAGTATAACGGCATTTTTATGTCCACATTTGGACAATGAAATAAGACAAAACACAATAAAAACAATTCGCCCGCACGGCTTCTCTTGACGCTTTACTCAACGCGTGTTCCCCCTGGCATTGGCGTCTTTAATCGGCGTTCAAAACGGCAGCGTCCGCGCAAGGCGCCCGAAGATGACAACGGGGGGGCGAAGGGGATGGGTAAGGGGGGGGGCAAAGGGGGTGGGTAGGGGGGGCGAAGGGGGTGGGCAAGGGGGGGGCGCATAGCCCGGCAAAACTGGGATGCCGGAACGAACTCGTTGTAGCGCTGTTTTATTTATATTTGTCTCCAGATTTTGGCGAAGCGTTTGAGAGGTTGTGGCTGGTTTTCGATAGGACAATTCCCGAACGGCAAGATCACATCGTGCCAAAGTTTGGTTCGTGTTGGATCGCCTTAAGATGTTAACTCGCCTGGTTTACAGGAGGTCGTGGGTTCGATCCCGACCCTGACGCCTGCTGCTGTATATTTGGAGTTTGCGTGCTCTATCCGTGGTCGCGTGGAAATGTCTCCGGGTTCCCCGGCGTTTCCCTCCACATTTAAAATTTACCTGCGTTCAGAGTATTTGGCTGCTGCTATAAATTTCCACGTGATAAGCCACTTCGTTGAGCTATCATTCGTGATAGCCAGGTCGCGTCTGCATAAGAGCTACATAGCTGAGTGGGCCTTACCTGGTACATTTTTTTCATAAAGTTTTCAACCGCAGTGGAGCACGGTGTTAGGCAGCGCTCTGCTTGGCTTGCACTCACCCTGCCTTACACGTGAACGTGTACATCCCTTTTGTCAGTCCACTGCTGGATGAGGGCCTGCCTTCACGTACCATGCCGGTCCTACGGGTTGTTTCGCCATACTTCACCACGCTGGTCATAGCAGGTTGGTGAAGGCGGGAGGATGCAAAGGAGTAAGGCCATAGAAGCACAAAACAACACTTCACTGCCCTCTGCTCCCCACTACGTGTAGCCCCGCAGCAGCCGATAACAACCTGTCATGCATGGTGGTTGCTCATCCGAGTACTTGCTATGCTCAGCCCTGTGTACTTCCCCGAAATTTACGACATCGGGTGCATTGTGGGTGGGTTGGTCGTAGGCTTAACACAGATTAATATTTTTCCCTTTTTTTCCCCCCAGTCTTTGATGGCCTCAGTCTAAACTATAAAGTGTGATCACTGCTCTCTCTCGCTCTCTGATCTGAAGAAGGGCCATTTCCTGAAACTTCAGGCTACTATAGCAGTTCTCAATCCGTGGAATTGCCACTTAGAGCGCAGTCTGAGGCATGGATACCGTGCAGGCTAAATTTCGAATGTCATTGCAGCGTGGCATCGACGTCGCGGTGACAAAACCACACTGATACGCGACACGGACACGTGATCTCTCTGTGTCTGGTGGCCTTAGCAACCCTGGGGGGGGGGGGGGTGACGGGCACGGGGGGCGTGGGGCGCGCGAGGACGAGTCAGTCTTGATTTGGCGGCTGCCGTGCGATGGATGTTGAGAACCACTGGGCTTTTATATTGATCCGTCATCTTCATACTCTTCTTTTTCTTCTTTCCGGAATTTCCGTCCATGCACCTCACGTGAATCTGCCTTCCTGGTCCTCAGTCTGTATCCACCAATTCGCGTCCTGGACTACGATCATCATCATCAATCTCCACATCCACAGCCCACAGTCTGTCACTCTCCAGTGTCTCACCGCTCCGAACCACTGTCTCTCGGTGATCTGCGCTCCCAGTGCCTCTCTACGTTTGTGACATTTCTCCACCTGCCCGTGGATTTCCTCTCCTCTTACGAACCAAGTGCTCGCTGTCCTGTCGACTGTTTTAAGGCAGCGTGAGTGATGGTAGACTTGGAGTGCTATTGTTTTTTTATGAGGGGGGAGGGTGGGCATTTTCGTATTGTCAAGTGGGTGTTTAATGTAAAAAAAACTATAAAGATGCAGCCCCTGCAATCGCTTGCTCACGCCACCGCCGATGGTAGCGCCTCCACTATGAACAGCAGCCGAGAGCCCTTCCAGTTGGAAAGTTTGGCCTGCTCTTCCTTGCTGGCCAGACATCTCGGAAAAGGTGGGAGAGTTACCCACACTTTACCCCACCACACAAGCGACCTCTGGCTCTTGCTTATTTATACGGCTGTGTGCTCAAACCATTACACAGCGGCAGCATACTGTACCTGGTGGATGTAACGTTGAAGCGTTTACGAGAGTAGTGTATCAACATTTCTCCACACCTCATAAATCACTTTGACAAGTCCTTGAATGCCTGGAAAAGAAAAAAACCTCTACAATTGCAAACTTTGGGATTTAAAAGCTGTTGTTGTTGTCGATGGTGATGGTCTTGGTGGTGGTGTTGTTTTTTGCTCGTAGGGGGCACAGCCAGTGCATCTACCAGTCATCTCAATCAATCAATTCATGGCACTTGGGTCTGTTACGTGACCTCCTGTCAGCGAGCCTTCGACACTTCACGTAGCCTCAAACGTGCACCTGGCCTGGCACAGACGCCGTGGTGACGTCACCGCCATTTAGTGGCGAATGGCGGCGATTGTTGTTTGTTGCTCTTAAAACAAAAGAAAAATTCCGTTATCGATGAAATATAAATAAACCTTGCCATGATTCAGTCTACGCAGTCACCTCTTCCCAACGAGTCACACGTCCCGCCCGGCTTGTGCAGCTTGTAGAGTCTCGGAGCCCTGCAAGAAGAAGCCACAGCAGCACTCACCATGTTGTGATGAGAACGGCTGTCACACGAGTGACCTGAGGTCATGCTCCTCTGTGGTCGTGCTGCTGGTTTTTTTTTTGCAATGGATGCTGGTGATCTACTGTAGCTGGTTAAAAATGAAGCCGGTGCATCTTGCTGATGATAATGACGGTGGTGATTATTATGACGACGACGATGATAGAGATGTTGCTACTTGTGCTGTCGATGATCTTGAGGCCGATGCTGCTTCTGCTGCGGGTGCTTATAGTCTCTCGCTGCTTCTGCTACTGCTTCCGCTGATGATAACTGATGCCGCTGCTTCCACTACTGCTGCTACCGTCATTGTCACTACTGCTGCTTTAGCTGACGTTACCACTGATGCTTCCCCCGTTGCTGCTTCTGCTGATGGTTACGTCACTGCTTCTGCATGTTGAATTTCTTTCGCACCGTACGTAGCCAACCGTGCCAATCGGAGGTGCTGGTGCTTCAATTGATGCTCCCAGTGCTTCTGCTGCTGCTGCTGCTTCCACTGATTCTGCTGGTGATGTTGCCACCTCCACAGTAGCTGCTGCTAGCCCTGTGCTCCTCACACCTGGTAGTAGACGGAGGCGGCGTGCTGTCTCGCCAGGTCGGGCACGATGTACAAGGGCAGCCCGTAGTCTCCGGACACCTTCCCGTAGTGCGGGCACGGGGCTCCCGCCCCTCCTCCACATGGGGAACCGCCGGGCGCCACCGCTACTCCGCCACCTCCCCCCCCACCGCCGCCACTACCGCCACCATGCACACCCCCATCCTCCTCCGTCTCCTCCTCAGCCTCATCCTCGTCGTCCCCTCCTCCTGTTCGTGCCCCAGACCTGGCCCTTCTTCTTCTGCTGCTGTCCTGACGGCGTCCTGGCATAGACGAGGGAGGGCTTTTAGGGCCGGGCTGATTAATTGTTTTTAATGTTTTTATTTCACCAGGAAGGCCCACTGAGCTGTGTAGCTTCTTTTTCAGAAGCGACATGAACATCACAAATAGGAGCTCAACGAGTTGGCTCATCACGTGGAAATCTATAGCAGCCAAATACTCTAAATGCGTGATGTTGATTCTAAATGTGGAGGGAATAACCGGAGGACCCGGAGAAAAATCCACATAACCACAGGGCGAACACACAAACTCCATATATACAGCAGGCATCAGGGTTTGGTTAAAACCCACGACATTCTGTATACCAGGCGAGGTAGTTAAGATATCTCCACTGCAGCACAACATTTGTATTACATTTCTATTTAAAGCTTTCGTGACTGCAGGGAAACATCTTCTTGGTTCTTTCGGTAAAGTCACGTAGAATGGAAATAAAATAATAAAAATAAAACATAATAAAATAAAATTCTCACGACGTTTCGGCCACAACACAAGTAGCCTTCTTCAGGTGAAGGAACATAACTGTCGGGACGACCGCTTCAATGAACACTGCTAAGCTTGGCAGCGTCTTTTAAGCTGGGTGGGAGAAGCAGAGCATCTTGACAAAGTAGTTTACATATCAACAAGAGAATTTAGCATTGAAGTAGCTGTGTTAATGTGTTGGATTAGCAGGGTGTTAAAGTCAGAAATTAGCATGTAACTGGGAGATTAGCATGATGTTAGTGTGAGGGATTAGCATGTAACTGGTCACGGAAGTAGCTATGTTAAAGTCAGAATTTACATATCAACAGAGGCATTTAGTATATTGATGCTAAAGAACTGAAACTACCCAACTATCATACAATAAGCCAATGTGAAAGAACCAAGTATAAACTACATCAATATGATAAATGTACTCAATATATTTTTCAATAAGTTGAGCTATTAGCATAAAGTAACTGGGTATACACTACACTATATAATGAATATCATATAGTAAACTGATAAAAAACAAAAATATAAACTACATCAATGTTATGAATAAACGCAATATACTCTTTGGTTCTATTCGGTAAAGTCACATAGGTAAAAATAAAACAATAAAAATCACGACGTTTCGGCCACAACACAAGTGGCCTTCATCAGGTGAAGGGACCAGACTGTCTCGAGGACAGTGCTGGAGTGAACTGTCCTCGAGACAGTCTGGTCCCTTCACCTGATGAAGGCCACTTGTGTTGTGGCCAAAACGTCGTGATTTTTGTTGTTTTATTTTTACCTACGTGACTTTACCGAATAGAACCAAAGAGTATGGATCCTTGCAGTCACGAAAGCTTCAAATCTAAAACTCAATATACTTTCCAATTAGCTGAGCTACTAACAATAAGTCGTTATATGTGTCCTACATTGTATTTGGAGGCAGCGGTATCCTAGTGGTTTGTGCGCTTGGCTACAACCTGGGTAGTCTCGATTTGACTCATGGCCACGGTGCTATTTTTATCTGAACCCACAATGGTCTCCTTCTTGGTCGACTCAGACACAAGTTCGATCGAGTTTGTTGAATGTCTCTGTCGGCCGTGTTGCTGTTTTGTATTAAACCGGATCCAGCCATCATCAGCCATGCTCTATCCACGGTTCGATGAAGCTCTCCCCAAGCCATCGCCATCTCTCGCGGTACACAGGAATATGGAATGTCCTTTACCGTAGGTAACAGCCAGTAGTTGTGTACGTGGGGTGACTGCGCCTCGTCTTGGGAACGTGGAATGTCCACCTCTGTGTACCTGTGCTCTGGGGGGCCCGGTGCCGGCGGAGGTGGGGCCACGTGATCGAGAGTCCAACGAGTGAAATCAGCAGGACGAGGGCGGAGCCTGCAGCCAGCCAGCCAATCAGCAGCGGTCCAGGGTAGGCTGGGTGCGGGACTTGGGCCGTGCTGGTGACGTCACGCAAGTCTGTATGGTGACGACGTCACAACGGTGAGTGATGCATGCGGTGACGCTACATGTGGTGTAGCGCTATTGTCAATCCACTGCTGGATGACGGCTTCCCCACGCCTTGCGGTTTCTCAGGGGGGTTAACCGGCCATACTTCACCACGCTGGGCAGTGAGAGCAGATGGAGAGCATACACATTGGCGCGTGTTACGGTACAACAATGTATTGCGCTTGCACTGCCCCCCTCGGAACAACGTAGCCCCACAGCAGCCTATAGCACCTGCTGTACGCACGACGGTATCGCCCATCCAAGCACAGAGCAGGCTCAACTCTGCTTAGCTTTCGAGAGCTCAGTGATTTGATTATTCCCCAATCAGGTTCATTCAGATCACAATCCTCGTCACCATCATCATCGTCATCATGAACACCCGACCACCTCGTTTATACTGCGTGTTAATAAAATACCCAGTGATTATTTTACTAAGTCTGGGTCAGTCAGACTCTATCCACTGCTGGCCTGGTGAGAGCAAGCGACGTTGGCCACCAACCTGAAGCGTTCCAGTCACGTGACTTCCCCTGTGTCGGGTCAGAAGTCATCGCCCTCCCGTGATGCCGTGTGGTTTTCCCATCTTGCCACGCTGCTCCTCCCATAATGCCTCGGGCTCGTTCCTCGTCACGTGGGTCTGACGAGGAGAAGGAAGAGGAGGAAGATAGGGAGAGAGGGTGGTGATGGCGAAGAAAATGATGGCTGATGGTGGCAATCATGATGGTAATGATTGATCATGGTGACGATAATGGCGTGAAGATATGATGAAGATGTGATGATGGGGATGTGGGTGACGCGATGCTGGGTTGATATGACGAAAATAGTGTAAATGATGGTGGTGTTGCTTTTTGTGTTTAGTATGTTGTCCTTCCCCCGCACATCCGATTAACACGGTTGGCTATGTATGGTGCAAAAGAAGTGCAATATACAAAGTAACCTATTATTTACTTGACCAGGTAACGCCCACTGAGCTATATGGCTCTTGTTTCAGAAGCGACCGGGCCACAATGATAGCTAAGCGAAGCGACGTATCACGTGGAAATTTAGAGCAGCCAAATACTCTAAACGCGTGTTTCTAAAAGTGGAGAGAAAAATCGGGGGTACCTGGAGAAAAATCCATGCGACCACAGGAAGAGAGAACATGCAAACTCAGTACATACATGGTGTTTGGTTAAGATGATGATGGTTGTCATGTGATGATGTGGGTGACGCAGTGCTGGGTTGATGTGATGATAATGATGATAGTGAGGATGTTGATGACGATGATGGTGATGATGTTGGGTACCTAGCCCCACCCTCAGCACGAGCCTCATGCCGTGCGTGACGCAGGCGCCTCCCACGCGCCCGGACAGTCCCTCCCACGTGCCGTCCGACGTGGCTACACACAGCAACATCAACATTATTATCATCAGCAACATCATCATCAGCGGCATCATCATCGGCGTCATTGGCAGCAGCAGCATCAACATAAGCAGCAATATCATCATCAACAACAGAAGCATCAGCAGCAGCATCATCTGCAGTATCATTAATAGTAACGTCACAAGCAGCGTCATCAACATCAGTAATATCAGCAGTATCATGACTAGCTTCAGCAGCGGTAACATTAGCAATATCGTCAGCAGCACCATCAGCATTTATCACCAGCATCATTATAATCAACAGTAGCAGCATGATCATCAGTAACATCATTATCAGCATTTGCACACATCATCATCACTGCGGTGTACACTCACATATGATGTGGTACTCCCTCTTCGGCGCAAACTCGAGTCCGCGGTAGTTGGGACTCACGCGCTGCACCTGGGCGGACGACACGCAGAGGCAACATGTGTGCGCACACCTAGCACCGTATCTCATGCGGACGAGGGGGGACGCCTTCCCTCTTCCCATCCAGCAGTGGAGTGATCTCGCGCCCCCCACCCCCGGTGCCACGGTTGCCCACCTTGAGCGTGTACTTGAGAGCGCGTGCCGGGCGATCACACGCGAGCACGAGGCGAGAGTTGCGCGCGCCGGGGGGCGCCTCGCAGCGCACGCTCGAGTCTCGCGAGACCAGGTAGAGGCGGTGGAACTCGGCGGGACCCGGGCCGAGACCCTGACCCGAATCGGGACCCGGGCCAGTGCCGTGACCGAGAATGGGTCGAGAACCTGGTCCAAAACCACCACCAGCAGCAGCAACACCCAGATCCAAGGACAGATCCAGACCCAAATCGGGACCAGGAACGTGACCCCAGTTTGGACCGGGACCAGAAGCCAGGGCTGGAATGCCACCGGATCTCTGAGCAGGGCCGGTGCTCAGATCCAGATTTACACCCAGACCAGGACTGGGACCGAACCCCAGACCTGGACCCGTACCCAGGCCAGGTCCCGAACCCACTCCCAGACCCGGTCCCGAGCCTGGACCAGGTCCTGAAGCCACGGCTGGATCCATGCCAAGGAATGGACCAGGTCCCAAACCGAGATCTGAACCCAGACCTGGACCGGTGCCAAAATCCGGACTCGGACCAAAACCCAAACCCAGTCCCAAACCGGACCCAGAATCCGCGACGGGCGAGTCGCTCCACTGCGGCCACTGCCTCCGTGGCAGCGATGCGGATGACTGAGAAGATGACGACGATGATGACGACGATGATGACGACGATGATGATGAGAATGGTGATGATGACATCACGGGGCAGATGAGGTCGATGCGGTCTCCCATCTGCGGGTAGAGGATCACCCCGTGGCTGCCCGGGAAGAACCTGCATGGGGTGTGGGCAGAGGGGGGGGAGGGAAGGAGAGCGATTAACTGCGATTGTAGTTGTATGTTGAACTTATTTTGCACCGTACGTAGCCAACCGTGCCAATCGGAGGTGCGAGGGGGAAGGACAACAAACTAATCACAAAAAGCATGTCTAAACTAATTGGTTTCAATCTATATTTAAAAGCGCATAGCTCCAGTGGCTCACTAATATCGGAAGGAAGAGCGTTCCAAATGGCCGCAGAAGCGCATCTGAAAGTGCTGCCGTCTTTGTCCGATGGTTCAGCCAAAAGCCACTGCCGCTGCGAGGATGAGCGGAGTTCGCGTGACGATGGTTTATGCTTCTTGACGAGATCAGCGAAGTGTTGTGGCTCGCCATTTGTGGTCAGCACTTTGTGTATAATGAGTGCCACCTTGTAATGCATTAGTTCATCAACCTGAGGTCAATGCCAGCACCGGAGGTGGTCGGAAAATATAGTCAAGTGTATGGTCACGTGTGGTGATTGACTGTGGTTGCATGAGGTCGTGTGAAGATTATCAAAGTTAAATATGTTTTGCATGTGACTGATTATGATTGTGTCGTTGTATTTGGCTGATTGTGTGATTGTGCGGTTGTAGTTTATTAAGGTTCCATATCACGTATGTAAAATGCGTGTGGTTGACTGGTTGCTTGCAGTTGCGAATGGTTGACCGTATTACCTGTAATTGCGTGTGGTCGCGAGTGATTAGCTGTATTATCGTGTTTGCGTGTAGTTGGCTGGTTGCGTGTGGTTGACCGGTTGCCCATAGATGCGCGTGATTGCGTGCGGTTGCGTGTAGTTGCGTGTGGTTGCGTGTAGTTGCGTGTGGTTGCGTGTAGTTGCGCGTGGTTGTTGCGTGTGGTTGCGTGCAGTTGCGCGTGGTTGTGTGTAGTTGCGCGTGGTTGTTGCGTGGGATTGCGTGTAGTTGCGCGTGGTTGCGTGTAGTTGCGCGTGGTTGTTGCGCGTAGTAGCGTGTAGTTGCGTGTAGTTGCGCGTGGTTGTTGCGTGTGGTTGCGTGTAGTTGCACGTGGTTGTTGCGCGTGGTTGCGTAGTTGTTGCGCGTGGTTGCGTGTAGTTGCTGCGCATGTAGTTGAGTGGTTGCTGCGCGTGGTTGCGTGTAGTTGCTGCGTGTAGTTGCTGCGTGTAGTTGCTGGGTGTAGTTGCTGCGTGTAGTTGCTGCGTGTAGTTGCTCACCGCGGGTCCCGTGTGCTCCAGTGAACGCGCTCGATGAGGGAGGCGCTCGCCGCGGCCGCGAGGCTCGTGGCGACCACGACGAACCCCAACATCCCGCAACAACAACAACCACCACCACAACAACACCACCACCACAACACCACCACCACCACAACAACACCACCACAACAACAATAACACCACCACAACAATAACACCACCACGACAACACCACCACGACAGCACCACCACAACACCACCACCACAACACCACCACGACAGCACTGCACAACCGTAACGACACTCCCCAACGATGTCACCGTCGCTACGAGGGGAAGGCGAGACGAACCCGAACCGCCATCCAGCGATCACAACACAGCAGAGGAGGGAGAACCAACAACAACAAATCTCTACGCTCAAACAACAACAACACAAGCATCTACAACCACCTCCGATTAACGCGGTTGGCTACGTACGGTGCGAAAGAAGTTCAACGTACATGGGTACATACGCGTGCAACAACGAATGGTTAAATGGACAAAAAAGACGGTACAAGGCGACAAAACGTGTAATAGTAAATACAAAGTTACACACAGACAGAAAGTAATTAAGAAGGGCACGGGACGACGAGGAGGAGCGATAAGAGTCTTGCGATAGACGACAGGAAGCTGTGGTATGTCAACTCCACTTTCTCCTCAGAATTTCAAATGTAAAATCAAATATTTAAAAATATCCCGCCGACAAAAGTAATAACTAACGGTAAGTGGTAGGACTAATAATAACAGATTTTTTTTACGCGTGTAGAAAATAATACAATTTTCTAAAAAAAATAAAAAAACTAGAAATATATTTTTTGTTAATTTTTACAATAAGATGAAAAACAAGGTAATATACAGTAGAGGATAATGAGATGCGTTGGTATTTCCTATATTTTTTACGTATTATACATATACATTAAAATCGTTATGAACATGTTTAAGTGTAGGTGAAGCGGTTTTTTGTTTTGGCGGGAAGAAGAAAAAAAAGACCCGAGGCTGAGCGCGCGACGCCGCGGGCGCGAGACGGCGTCTGAGCGCGCGCTCGCGGCTCCCGCCAACTTATCCCCCCCCGCCCCTCCCCTCATCCCCCCCCCGCCTCTCCCCTCATCCCCCCCACCCCACCCCCCACTATCACCACCCTCCTACCAGCACCACCACCACCACCAACCACAACCACCATACCCACCCACCCCCCCACCTTATCATCACCCTATCACCACTCTCCCACCACCACCAACCACCATCCACAACGTCCCCACCCCAACCGTATCATTATCCTATCACCACCTTCCTACCACCAGCGCCACCAACCACAACTAGAATACCCTCCCACACCACCACCTTATCAACTTATCACCACCCCGATCATTATACCACAAGCCCTCACCTTGTTGTGACCACATCCACCAAACACTCCACCACCAACCCCCACCCCCTCCATAATTTTTCGACCACCATGTCTATAAAGCACAACCAATCACAAACTCATCCCCCTTATCAGTATCACATCCAGCACCACGACTGTGACCACCACCTACCGCACACCACAACTACCTTACACCACTACCACTTCACACAACCATCGCTACCGCCATGGACACACATAGCCTACCAGCCCTCCCCACATCATCCCATTCCCCTCACCTCCACCTCTTCTCACCTCTGTTACCTCACAGTCAGGCCTCACTTGAAGAGGATTATTTTGACACGGCTCAGAAGATAAATCGTTATTTTCTCATACATTCTGATGTTTCTCCCTTCTAACATATTCAGAATCAAATTTTCCCTTCACTTAGTCTCACCGCAACTCTCCTCATTTCACTCACTCTCACCTCCATCTACTTCCCTCCCTTACCTCGTCCCTTCACCTCTCTTCCATTTCCTCTCACCTGCTGTCCCATCCTCCACTCGCTTCTCCTCCCCCATCATCTCCTCTCTCTCACACGCCCCTCTCATTCCTCTCCGTCTCCCAGTCTCCCTCTTCAACCCCTCCACCGCCCCCCCACGGTCACTCATTCTCCCGTCCGTCTCTCGCCTCGTCTCCCGCCTCCACCCACCACCAACTCCCCTCCCTCCATCTCTCTCTCTCCCGTCCGTCTCCCGCCTCCACCCACCACCAACTCCCCTCCCTCCATCTCTCTCTCTCCCGTCCGTCTCCCGCCTCGTCTCCCGCCTCCACCCACCACCAACTCCCCTCCCTCCATCCCTCTCTCTCTCCCGTCCGTCTCTCGCCTCGTCTCCCGCCTCCACCCACCACCAACTCCCCTCCCTCCATCTCTCTCTCTCCCGATCGTCTCCCGCCTCGTCTCCCGCCTCCACCCACCACCAACTCCCCTCCCTCCTTCCCTCTCTCTCTCCCGCACGCTCTCTGCGAGTCTCCGGAGAGCTGTGGCCCAGAGTCCCTTTGTCTCTTTGAAGAGAGAAGCCGCGAGTGGCGCGTGGCGTTAGAGAGGAGGGAGAGGAGGGAGAGAGCACTGTGTGTGTGTGAGCATGGGGGGGGGGAGAGAACATAGACATAGAGTAGGGAGAGAGGGGGGTAGAGAGAGGGGGAAGGGGTAAGGAGAGCAGAGCGAGAAATCTTTTGTTAAATCTTTCATTTAAAAGGGGGGGGGGGGGGTTACATAAAGCAAAGCATTAAAAAAACCGAAATGATGAACGAAGCAAAGTGCCGACTACACCGAGCATCTTCTTCTTGTTTCCTCTGATCGTACAAAAAAAAAGAGAGAGAAAGTTTGAGAAAGGCTTATATAGTAAGACGCAGAGTGAGAGCAGACAAAGCGAGGAAACAGTAAGAGAGAGGGTACATCAAGAGAGAGAGAGTGCTTAGAATGAGTGCTGCGTGAGAGAAGTATGGGCGAGCGCGAGAGAAAGGGAGAGATAAAATATTAGAGAGAGCAGGGAGATAAGAGAGAGGGGTGAGTGTGGGAGAGCCAGATGCGATGCAGGTGAGCACGTGTAGCAGGGATAGTGTGTCATAGAGAGGGGTATGAGTGAGTGCGAGAGAAAGGGAGAGATAACAGACGAGAGGGAGTTAGATAAAGAAGGGAGTTGCAGGAGTGAGAGGAGTGAGTGTGAGAGAGCCAGATGCGATGCAGGTGAGCACGTGAAGCAGGGATAGTGCGTGCATGACGACGTGGACAGATGTCGGGGAGACTGCTCCCCGTCTCCCCGCTCATCTGGGATCCACTGCTCCCCTCTTCCGTGTCCTGGGGAGGGTTGCTGCTCCCCGACTCCCCCACCCCTTCACTGCGGCCCCACGGGGCATGATTTAAAGGGCTGGCGCGTAGCCACCAAAATTCAACGCGGCTACCTGCCCGGCGCCGCGCACCAATCGTACGCGTAGGACCCGGGGTCGGGGGTCGGAGGGCAGGGGCGTCACTCGTACGCCCCGGAGCAGGTTTAAAGGGCTGTGTGAACAACCTCGCGGGTGCGCCGCCCGTGCACCTCTCGCAGACGCTAACCACGAGCTACGCAGTTAATCTCGCGTGCACGCCGCCCGTCTATGTCGCGTACACATTAAGCAGAGGCGGAACGGGTGATCTCGCGTGCACGATGCCCGTCTACCTCGCGTACACGTTAACTACGAGCTACACGCGGCGGCGAGCGCGCACACGCGGGTAAAATACATGCTCGTGCGCGAACACAGGACACCACAACGAGAAGGCTCACAGCACATGCACTCCTCTCCGCACTCGCAGGGACGACACGACAAGGCTGATTGACTACTGGCGATTTATTCTCCGCGAATAACGTAGCTAAACTACCCGTGTCAGTGTGGGCCAGCAGGGCAGGTCTAACCTATCTCCCGGTGGTCTAGGACTCAATCTGTCCCGTCTCTCCCTAATCACTCTCCCTACGGATATTCCCTTTAATCTCACCTCTCTCCTGCGTACTCACGGTCCGACTCCGAGGTGTAGGAAGCCGTGGAAAGGCGAGGCTGCACGTAGTCCTCGCTGGGAACGGGGCATGGCTGTGCTGTGACACGTCACACGGACGACCCAGTCGCAGGCACGATGACTCCGCCGATCCTTGACCCCAGAAGAACACGACTGCCCTTTACTGCCTCCTCTCCCCTTTTTTCTATTGTACTTGCATCAAAGGTAACATGCCGCTAATCCCCTGGCCTCTCGTCCAATCAGGAGCCTCGGATTTCCCGCTTCTCTCTAATCGGCTTAGTGCTCTCTCCGACGTCGGCTTTTTACTCTTTGAACAAGCGCACACGTCCTACACGGAGAGGAGGGCCCCATATTTTCCCCACCGCTCGTTACTCTGCCCCACCCTCTACCTGCCTGCTGGTCCGTGTCGAGTGTGGGTGTTTTCTATCCGCGGTGGCTCAGCAGCCCCCGTCGTGACCACGTGATTACAACCCAGGTCACGGCGCCGCGGTGCACGTTAGCCTCGGGGGAGGTCGCCCAGTTCCCTGGTCGCAGGAAACCGTGAAGATTGGTCCCATGAGAGGGCTTCTGGGTGAAAACCTGTCGGCCAGGTGACCTCCCCTCGGGGCTCTATGTGGGGGTGTGTGTGTTCATGTGGGGGCTCTATGTGGGGGGGTGTGTGTGTATTCATGTGGGGGCTCTATGTGGGGTGTGTGTGTGTTCATGTGGGGGCTCTATGTGGGGTGTGTGTGTGTTCATGTGGGGGCTCTATGTGGTGGTGTGTGTGTGTTCATGTGGGGGCTCTATGTGGGGTGTGTGTGTGTTCATGTGGGGGCTCTATGTGGGGTGTGTGTGTTCATGTGGGGGCTCTATGTGGTGGTGTGTGTGTGTTCATGTGGGGGCTCTATGTGGGGGTGTGGGGGTGTTCATGTGGCGGCTCTATGTGGGGGTGTGTGTGTGTTCATGTGGGGGGTGGTGAGGGAGGGGCAGCGTCGGCCCCGTCGCTCGGAGGTGGCGGCGTCACGGCCACGGAGTCGTCAGGACGGCCTCGCTGCTGCTGCTGCGGCACCACAGTGGCAGGTACGGGAGAGTGATGACGCTGCTGCAGCATCACAGTGGCAGGCACGGGAGAGTGTGATGATGACGCTGCTGCAGCATCACAGTGGCAGGCACGGGAGAGTGTGATTACGCTGCTGCTGCACCACAGTGGCAGGCTCCGACGGAGCAGCTTCGCTGCTGTGGCACCACACAGATTACCGTGCTATCAACAGTGGACATTGTTGTTACCACGGTTGCTGTTGATGTTTAGGTTGTGGGTTTATTTTATCTCGGTCATAGGTGAAAGGTCACACACAGCTCTGATACAATGCCATGGGTCGCTGTTTTCTTCCGGTCACAGTGAGGCCCCGGATTCAACTCGATTTAGTCCTGGAACTCACTCCCCTAACATGTCAAAATACTCATTACGTTCGTTAATAAAACTAAACTATTATTTTTAAAAATTGTATTTTACCAGGTAAGACCTCACTGAGTTATATAGTAGCGTTTTTCAGAAGCGACCTGTCCAACACAAATGATAGCTCAACGAAGTGGCTCATCATCACGTGGAAATGTAAAGCAGCCAAATACTCTGAACGCGTGATGTCCATTACTAATGTGGACCCGGCGAGAAATCCACGCGACCACTGGGGAAGAGACACGCAAACTCCACATATACAGGCGTCAGGGTCGGGATCGAACCCACTGTGTGTGGTCGTACAATGAAAAATAAACAGACATTTCGGCCAATGTTCCTTCTTCATAACACAAACATAGAGGGGCCAGAGAGATCGAGGGTCTCTCTAGTTACACAATTAGTAGCTATTGAGTAACAGACACCCCCTTCGATTATAACCAATCAGACAAATGACCACGGTTAGATAATACACTCATTTATATGAAAAGTTACATTATAAAAAAACGAATATTAACGGCACATTGATTTGTGGGCGCGAGGTGTCTCCTCGTGAGGGAAAGGCGCAAATCCACTTGGCAGGGCGTGCGTGCCTGGGCCCAAGTGACGTCTCACAGACGGACCAAGGACGTTCATAAGAACGTATACAGGCATCAACTCTGTCATGCTTACTGTGTCGCCCCTTGTTGCGTTGAACGGGAGTGCTCTCGCCAAGTAAC